CACAGACACAAACACTCACACACACACACACAGACACATAAGCACACACACACACACACACACACACACACACAGACACAAACACTCACACACACACACACAGACACACAGACACATAAGCACACACACACACACACACACACACACACAGACACAAACACTCACACACACACACACAGTACCCTGTTTCTATTACAACACAAAGTGTGGCTGTTTCTCAGTCCAGTGTTTTGTCGGAGGCTCTCTTAAACTCTACCATGTTACACAATGAAATGTCATGAAAAAACCCCCCAACTTAACAAAAAATACAAACCAACCCTCCCCCCCCAAAAAAAAACAACACATAAAAAACCCAACAAAAAGACAAAAACATACACCTTAATAAAAAAACACCCAAACAACTCTCCTCCCTAAAAGAAAAAAAAAAGTTGTTTGAAGATGGGATTACCTACCAAGTGGTTTTTTTGCACTCTTAATCTTAGGCGTGGTAAGAAATGGAGGGGGTGAGGGCAAAGGTAACTGGAAACACAAACAGACAGAAAATATAACACAAGCAGATTACACATACATGTACACACAAACAAACACACGACTGTCCTAAATGAGTATATATGCGTGTTTGTTAACAGTGACTATGTAACATGTACCTCCAAAAGTTGCGCGGGAGAGACATACACACACAGGAAGACAAACAGGGAACATTGGGACAGTGAACATTGGGGTGGGCTGATGGTGTGTAGAAACATAACAAAGAACATATTTTAAATAGCGAAGAATATAGAAAAATATAGAATAAATGAGCGAAGTTTTGGGGAAAACAAAAAACAACCAATGAAAAATCCCAAAATTTCAGAACACCTCACTGGGGATTTGAACTGGGGCCATCCAAAATGATATCAAATAAGACAGCGGCAAGCCCAAGCAGTGTTATCTGACAGGTTGAAGTTGAAATACAATACTAAAAAAAATTAAAAAAATAGGAAACAATTAAAACTTTTAAACAATGTATCAAAAAAGAACCAACAAACAACAACCTATAAACACAACAATCTGTTCTGTAAACGTTCAGGCACATTCACTTCTAGATCTAGCACTGTTCGAAGGATTGTAGGAAAAGAACAGGCAGATGGTTGTGAAGTATATGGATTTAACGCCCCTATCAACACTATCAGAAACACAAAGATGGTGGTCGTAAAGTGTATGGATTTATCGCCCCAATCAACACTATCAGGCTATTTAAGAGGTGGGACCTTTGAACCTAGCGTCCGTCTCCGATAGGACAGAAGACGGTCATGACTGGCAAGACATTTGGTTATTAAGTAACCGGTGCAAGGTCTCTAGTAGCCCTTGCGCAAACACACACCTCTCTCATACCATCAAAACTCTCTCACACAATCACAACAGACACATATTTCAGGCTATGGGCTGGCAACGAGCCCCCCATCACATAATATATATATATATATATGTTGTCTACATCTATCTACAATAAAACGGTTAATTCTTGATAAGTTATATATATAATATAACGTAGCAGTGTAGGGATCGGAAGTGTAAAACAGCAGCAGCAGAAAATGTCAAGGCATTCACACAGATCAGTAGCTGTATGTGCGAGCAACTTTGTCGCCATCAGATCTGGGGGGGGGGGGACACCATAGTGTCACACAAGTTGGGGGGGGGCACCATAGTGTCACACAAGTTGGGGGGGGGGTAAGGGAGGTAGAGCATAATAATATTGTCACACAGAGGCAAAACCGAGCAAGAGCGTAACAACCGACTGGACAATGAATCCAGTAAAGCCCCAACCCCCTTGTAACACGGTCTTCAGGGTCTATGTAAAGAGTGATTGAGAAAAATGATAAATTGGATGTTTAAGAAAATCAGCGTTAAACTTTGTCGTGAAGGAATATAGAGACTCCCATGCGCTAATGTCTTTCTTAATCTACAGTGGCCAAGTTTTACAGATTTCAAGAAAATGACACCATGAGTTAATTGAATTAAAAAAACTCTCCCAGACAGAATTTAAAAAATTCACTTAGTAAAAAAAGTGGGAAAAGAGCAGAATCTAAAGCTAGAGGATGCCACCAAAAGTTGGCTGTAACATTTGACTTTTATCGTTATGTAAACAGATAACACATCTTGTCTCTTTATTGCTGAGTAGTGGGGAAAGGAGACATTTTCTTTGACAACACCTTGCATCAAAGGACTCGGTCTCCCAAGTGATGAACCGAGGGGAAAAATTGCTATTTCCTGACAACTACAAGAGATATTTTCTTTTTTCTTTTACCACTGCCCCCCCCCCCCCTTTCCCTGTGTGCCACATTTGGTGTCTGTGAGGAATGGCCTTTTAAAAAAAAGCCACAAAACATTATGCAAGTAATGGTAAACAGTTTTGATTATGTAGGCAATACAGTCTCAGATGTATCAGAAAACTGAACACATTAAAGTGACCGGACAAAATTAAAGCTGGGATGACAGAGGACACATTAACAGTGACACATTAACGGTGACACATTAACGGTGACACATTAACGGTGACACATTAACGGTGACACATTAACGGTGACACATTAACGGTGACACATTAACAGTGACAGCGAGCATGAGAGAAAAAGAAAATCAGAAAAGACGTGGTTCCTTTCTGAAACCACAGGCACAGTTCTCACCTGTGTCGGTTTAAAGATTTTGTTCAAGTGAACAGCACACAGAGAAGTGTTAATGTTTCAGAACTAGGTGAACAACGATTTCTGTAACATGTCAGATATAGATAACGCGCTCACTTATCAATTAATACAAAGAAAACAGTACGGGATACTGCTTTGTCAAAACCTGACAAGAATTGATCGTTTACAACGGACAGGAAGTTAAAATAAATTAAAACAAAACAAAACTCCAGCATTCATGACAGACCAATGAAAGAGAAGACGTAGGATACGCTTCAACAAGTCAGCCTATAGTGTCATTCCGAGACTGCATCAGTCAACAAACAGTTTTGTATCCATAGTGCATAAGTCAGCCAATACGTTTGAATCGAGCATCACGACTGTGTAAGTCAGTGAATAGTTTTGTATCGAGTATCGAGACTGCATAAGTTAACGAATAGTTTGGTATCCAGACAGCATAAGTTAACGAATAGTTTGGTATCCAGACAGCATAAGTTAACGAATAGTTTGGTATCCAGACAGCATAAGTTAACAAATAGTTTGGTATCAAGAGTGCTCAAGTCAAGTACAAGAATCAAAAAGCTTCACATTAACATCTGAAATCTGTACAAGAAAATTGCTTTAAAAAAGTCAGGTGAACATTAGTAAAGGCTAAAAATACAAGAAAAAAAACTGTGTCGTTGGAAAGTGAAATCTCTCGTCAAACGAAGAAAAATGAACGAGTTACAGACGACAGAGGATGTCAAAAAGAACTATTGCATATTTGTTACTGTATGACGGTATTGGTCAAACGATTTGTTTAACGTGCACAAGGTTTAGAGATCTTCAAACTGATGAATTGATGATAAAAATCCACATGAAATTCAGAAACTGCCAATGGTTCAGATAAAGAGGCTAAAGTAGCGCAGAGAGAGATTTGGTTTTTCTTTCACAGAGAAAAAGTACTCTGATGTATGTCTTCAAGATGCTTGAGAAGTGTTTTGACAGTTCCTAGAAACTTGCATAGATGATCACAACCGGTAACAGTAATGATTGTGGTGTAGTCTTTCTCGTTTCGCCACGTCTGGAGCTTTTTTCACAGTTCTAGAATGGACAAATCTGCCGAACAAGTCACATGACCACAAAGGTTCTCGGCGCGGCACGTGTACTCCCCCTCGTCCCCCTCCCCCACGTCGCGAACGATGAGAGAGCACTCCCCCGCGCGGCGTCCGCCATGTTCCATCACGTGTCGGGAGTCCGCCTCTAGCTCCTCCCCCTCCAGGAACCAGCTGACAGTTGGGCGTGGCCGGCCAGACACCATGACGTCAAACCGGACCGCGTCGCCCGCGAACACCTGGCAGTCTCTCAGAGAGGTTTGGAACACGGGCGCCTCACCCCCAGCTGTATCACCCCCAAGGGTATCACCCCTAGCGACATCACCACCGCCCTCCTCCGCCGCTACCCCACTGTCCAAGTTTTTGTCCCCCGAGGCTGTGCCTGGCATGACACCAGACAGTTGACCAGTGTCCGAAGAGGGTTGTTCGATACCGCCAGACTCCTGCGAGCTGCCGGCCATGTCGGGGAAGGATGCCCCTTGAGCTTGTCTGGCAGACGAAGTGTTTGTGTTTGTGTCTGTATTTGTGTTTGTGTTTGTGTCTGTGTTACCCGAGCTCACATCTGATCTCAACACAGACAAAACAACCCTTGTTTTTGAGCTTTCACTGGACGTGTTATTGTTGTTGTTATTACTACTGTTGTTGTTGTTGTTGTTGTTATTGTTGTTGTGTATGTTTGGAATGTCAGAGTCATTGCTGAGAAGGTTTCGCTGTGAGGATGGGCCGTTGACGAGCTCGCTGCCGTTTGGCAGAGGTCGCTCACAGGAAGTGTTTGGATCGCTGGATCCCGAGGCCGGGTCCGAATCTTGCGGCACTTCCTGTTCCTCTGTCAGGGCGGGCCGTGACGTGATGACGTCAGGGCTGAACAGCGAGCGTGCGGTGTCCGGGGTACCCGGGGTGCTTGGGGTGTCGGGACAGTTGCTGTTGCTGCGGCTGAAGCTGCTGAGGCTGCTGGACTTGAGCAGACGACTGACCGCCAGCACGGCATTGCCAGTTTTCTGAGGAGACAAACACAAGATGAGATAGATCGCTATTTTATTTGTTATTGTGACAGTTTTACGACAATCACAAACAATTACAAGATAAGATAAATCTCTATTTTATTTGTTTACGTCACAGTTTTACGACAATCACAAACAATTACAAGATAAGATAAATCTCTATTTTATTTGTTTAAGTCACAGTTTTACGACAATTGCAACATAAACAAGTCATATATCAGCACCGATGATAAAGAGGTGTCACAAGAGAGTAACAAACACAAAAAAGAAGGAGGGGAGTTAGTCTTAGTAAGAGTTTTACAGCACTTGCAACACAATAAGGTCATATAAGTGCCGAAGAATAGAGGTGTCACATGAGAGTAACAAATATAAAAAAGAAGGAGGAGGGATAAGGACGATAGATGTTTGATAGGGATAGAGGAGCAAACCGCATCAGAGCACCCGCCAACCACCCACAGTTATTTGTTTGTTAGTTTAAGTAATGAGAAACACATTGACAGACTGACAGTAATTTTGTTGTTTTTTTTAAATAGAAGAGGGTTTTTACGGCGCTCGCAACTGCATAAGGTCATATGAGCGCCAAGGGGTGGATGTCAACAGAGAAGTCCTTACAGGGAATAAGACTTAGACTGCTCACCTCTCTAGCTTCAACAGCACAAAGTCTGCTTCGACTATCAAGGCATCCTGGAAATAGCAGGTCACAAGAGTGTGACAAACATACAAAAGAAGTAGAGGAAAATGACAAGAGTAAGGATCTGGAAAGAAAAAGCAGCAGTTCCCTGTTGTAGATCAGGCACAGTTATGAGCGTGACATGAGTCAGCCCATTTACAATTCTACTGTGCTTGAACGAGATATGTCCCCCCTTTGGGAATGGCCTAAAGACACTACAGTCAGTGGCACTGCCCGGGGGGGACACTACAGTCAGTGGCACTGCCCCAGGGGTAGTAATTTAGTGCAGGGGAAAAGTAAGACCTATTGAATGAGAAGCGAACACCGTAACTTCTAGACCATGACAGCCCCCCCCCCTCCCCCCTAATGGAAGAATGAGAAAAGACAAGAAGACAACTATTTGTTTTGTTTTTGTAAAGTGTTTTACGGCGCTCGCAACTGCATAAGGTCATATGAGCGCTCGGGACACACCAGACATTTTCAGTGGGTAGGAAATTTTGAATTTTCCCCGGGTGGCGACCGAAGCCTACTCTTATCGATTTTAGACCACCAAGGGATCTTTAACGTGCGCAACATGCACACGGCCCCTCCGAGATTTTTCGCCCTTGTCCGAGAAGGCTAGGTGTAGATCTTTCCTACCAGAAGATCAGGGGTGTGGCAGAAAG